TCCCCATTCAGCAAGTGGAGGCCTCATCCCCATCCCCGCTCCCCACCAACTCGATTCTGGCTCCTGTTTCTCCCTTTGCCACAAACTAACCATGGGGCTGGGGACTCATTTCTAATTCTGAATCCCCAGCCACATCCTGGGACATTGAGCCTCTCCAGGACCCCAGGATCACCCAGTACAGGTTGGTTTAGAGCTGGGGTTTTTTGTTGTTGTTAATCCTCATCCGAGAACATTTTTCCATTGACTTTTTTTTTTTAGAGAGGGGAGGAGAGGGAAGGAAGGAAGGAGGGAGGGAGGAAGGGAGGGAGGGAGGGAGCGAGGGAGGAAGGGAGAGAGATGGAGAGAAACACTGATGTGAGAAAAACACAATAACTGGTTGCCTCCGGCACGCACCCCCACTGGGCTGGGGATTGAACCTGCAACCAGGTATATGCCCTCGACCGGGAATCAAATCCACAACACTTTGGTACTTGGGCCAAGGCTCTAACCACTGTGAACACACCGGCTAGGGTGGTTTACAGCATTTTTGTTGAATGAATGAGTGACTCCATCAGTGAATACAAATACATTTCAAACATTCCAACCCAGTATTCAAAACAGTCATCTTCATCTCTGCCCATATTCTAGCCACAGAAACATACTTTTCCCTTTCCCAAACTGGCCAGCCCCTCTTTTACTTCCAGGACTAGTCCACCCATTTCCTTTCTTCTGTTCTCTTATTCCTGGCTCCTACCCAACTTGGCAAGCTCCTATTCATCTTTCAAAACCCAACTCTTCGGTGCCCCCCTCGCTGAAGCCTCCCAGCACCTGGACTGAGTCCTCCGGTGCTTCCTTCTTCCACACCCTGGCCCTGGGGGCTGGGCTCAAAGCTCCTTGGAAGCAGAGCAGCAAGAAAGCAAAAGATTCTTCAGGGATCACTGTTTTCCAACTATGCGTTCTGACTCGTGAGTGGAACATGGTGAAGTCCATGTGACCACATTTTTGAAAATTTCTGCTGCATATTTTGTCTTTAATTTACATACCTAGCTCAAAAACATGCTTTCAAACAGTTGCGCAGTATTTCGGCAGAATGTATTCAGCCCTACACAGAGTGGTGAGAATATTATGGCTCCCTCTTTATTTATCCATTTACTCATTGCAATTACAATGACTCAGCGATGACTTTGTACATAAATCTCACCACCAAGTTGTCTCTTTGGTTAAAGTTCCTAGAGGTACGATGTCGGCATCAAGGGGGGTGGGGGCTGTTTGTAAATTCATGTCCCAACACAGTTAGTTGTTAGTTTCCCACAGGAAGCTGCAAAAGATGAGTGTGCCACGCTCACTGTGAAATGAACTCATTTTTTTTGAGAGGCCAAAACCGAAAAGTATCTTGTTCTCTATTTGACTGGGGTTTTTTGTTTGTTTTTTATGTAACTGCTAGAGGCCAGCGCACGAAATTGCACAAGACCCAGACCCCCTGCACCGTGGGACCCAGACCCCCCCGCCCCCCCGCACCACGGGACCCAGATTCTGCCGCACCAGTGGGACCCCAGGCTCCGCCATGCCACTGCGGGCAGGACCCCAGACTCCACTGTGTGGGATCCATCAGTGCACCTCCTGGTGACCGGTTGTTTGGTCATTCTGGCATTCTGGCCACTGGCTTTTTATATATAGATACCACGGGTTGGAGAACTACAGCCCCTGTGCCAAGTTCAGCCCATTGTCTTGTCTTGTGTGGTCAATGAGCTAATAATAATAATACTGACATTTTTAAAAGGTCAAAAAATTAAAAGAATTATATGAAATTCACATTTGGGCATCCACAAATAAACTTTTATTGGCACGCAGCCACACTCACTTGTTGACCTCTGGCCTGGAGCTGCTTCCCAGCCACAGTGGTTGAGTTGAGTCATTTCTACAGAGATCACGTGGCCCCCACAGCCACAATTATCAACAAGTCAGCTTTACAACAGAAGTTTGCTCACCCCTGAACTATATGATTTATTAGTTATAGTGACGGGTTTGAAAATCTCGGGTTTGGGGAAACCCTTTAGAATAAAACTCAGTTCCTCCTGCCCTACCCTTTCTGCCAGAGCCTTTTTTTTTTTTTTCAATCCTTACTCAAGGATATTTTTCCGTTGTTTTTTTAGAGAGAGTGGAAGAGAGAGGGAGAGACAGAGAAAAATATTGATGTGAGAGAAAAATATCAATTGGTTGCCTCCTGCACGAGCCCCGACCAGGGCCCCGGGCTGGGGAGGAGCCTGCCACTGAGGTATGTGCCCTTGGCTGGAATCGAACCCGGGACCCTTCGGTCCACAGGCTTGTGCTCTATCCACTGAGCCAAACCGGCTAGAGCCAGAAGCTGGCTGAGAGAAGTAAAAAACCCAACTGTGCTCCCACCAGGGAAAGGTGAGCACTGCTTTGTGAAACATCTGTTTCTGTTTGATAAGAATCTGGAAATGCCAGTCCCGGGTGATATTGGTGTAGAAATCTCCTCGGATATGTCATGAGCAGAACGCGTTTGAGACCTGCAGCCTCGGCGAGTACCCACGGGTTGCTCAATGTTCTGCATTTAGAGACGGGCTAAAGGAGGATGCCGTGAGGAGACGTTTGCACGAGAGCACAGCTAGACCCAGGTGCAGCCCGAACCCAGCCAGCCCTCTCCGGTGCCTTCTGTGGGGTGGGCTCCCCAGGGAACAGTCTGGGCTGCAGGGACTGCCAGTTCTGGCATTCTGGCCACTGGCTTTTTATATATAGATACCACGGGTTGGAGAACTACAGCCCCTGTGCCAAGTTCAGCCCATTGTCTTGTCTTGTGTGGTCAATGAGCTAATAATAATAATACTGACATTTTTAAAAGGTCAAAAAATTAAAAGAATTATATGAAATTCACATTTGGGCATCCACAAATAAACTTTTATTGGCACGCAGCCACACTCACTTGTTGACCTCTGGCCTGGAGCTGCTTCCCAGCCACAGTGGTTGAGTTGAGTCATTTCTACAGAGATCACGTGGCCCCCACAGCCACAATTATCAACAAGTCAGCTTTACAACAGAAGTTTGCTCACCCCTGAACTATATGATTTATTAGTTATAGTGACGGGTTTGAAAATCTCGGGTTTGGGGAAACCCTTTAGAATAAAACTCAGTTCCTCCTGCCCTACCCTTTCTGCCAGAGCCTTTTTTTTTTTTTTCAATCCTTACTCAAGGATATTTTTCCGTTGTTTTTTTAGAGAGAGTGGAAGAGAGAGGGAGAGACAGAGAAAAATATTGATGTGAGAGAAAAATATCGATTGGTTGCCTCCTGCACGAGCCCCGACCAGGGCCCCGGGCTGGGGAGGAGCCTGCCACTGAGGTATGTGCCCTTGGCTGGAATCGAACCCGGGACCCTTCGGTCCACAGGCTTGTGCTCTATCCACTGAGCCAAACCGGCTAGAGCCAGAGGCTGGCTGAGAGAAGTAAAAAACCCAACTGTGCTCCCACCAGGGAAAGGTGAGCACTGCTTTGTGAAACATCTGTTTCTGTTTGATAAGAATCTGGAAATGCCAGTCCCGGGTGATATTGGTGTAGAAATCTCCTCGGATATGTCATGAGCAGAACGCGTTTGAGACCTGCAGCCTCGGCGAGTACCCACGGGTTGCTCAATGTTCTGCATTTAGAGACGGGCTAAAGGAGGATGCCGTGAGGAGACGTTTGCACGAGAGCACAGCTAGACCCAGGTGCAGCCCGAACCCAGCCAGCCCTCTCCGGTGCCTTCTGTGGGGTGGGCTCCCCAGGGAACAGTCTGGGCTGCAGGGACTGCCAGGGAATGCAGAGAGGAGGGTTCCAGAAGCCCAAACCCTCCTCCTGTCTGCAGGGATCAGCACGGTCAGCCCCTCCCATTTTCCAGGTGAGGGTACTGAGTACCAGAAAGGGCAGAGTCTTGACCAGGAGGAACAAGAACCCAGAAGACCCTGGAATCTCAAACTCCCATCTCCCAGCCCTGAGAAGCAACGAGGTCAAAGCTAACAGAGTCAGAGCAACGTGACCATCCTAGGGCTGAGCGCCCCTCCCCCACCTGCCAAGAAACTCTCCTAGTCCCGCCAAGTTCTGATCTGGCTCTAAGAGCCAGGGTGGCCCTGGGTGTATCCTCAACCTCCCCGAAGGCCCGTTTCCTCGCCTGGAGAATGGGATTAACTCCCCCTATACGATACATGGTGCTGAACTCCCAGGTCACTCTGGAGATTAAATGAGTCTGCCTGTCCGATGTTTAATACGATGCCTGGCACCCAGGAAGCACTTGATAAAGGCCATTGCCTTGCTCACCATTCATTGACCACCTACTACGTGTTACCCACCATCCCAGGAGCTCTAGGAAGGCAAGCACCCTGCCTCGTTCACTGTGTTGTCCGCAGCTCTCCACACAAGGACAGCACAGACGCACGTCTTCTTGGCTGCTCACATCTTTCAGGCTTTGGTCAAATGCCATTACCATCCAAGATGTGGGGGCCCTTCCGGTGTGGGGCTGCCCGCAACTGAGGGGTCTCCTGGGACAGGGGACTTCCAATGCTGAAGCCAGGACAGTCCCCAGCACACTAGGATGAGTTGGTCACCCTGGGCTGGGGATGCAGCTGAGAGTCAAGCAGCCATAGTCACCTCCTTCAGGCAGCCCTCCCTGACCCTCCCGTCCCTGCTGGCTTTAGGGGCCACCTCTGGGCACCCACCCCTGGAAGCTGCCCGTGTGTCCCCCATGACAGCACCATCACCCCGGGCTGTGAATGCCTGGAGTCCCTCTTTTCTGGGTCACTGCTGCCTTTCCAAAGCCTACCACAGAGCCCGACGCCAAATAAAGGCAAGTCATGAATGACAGCCAGTGCTCCCCGCCTGGCACAGGAGCAAACGAGGCCCAGAGAGGCGAACCGCTCAGACAGGATTCCCCAGCGAGGACGTGGAGGCGCCAGGCTTTGAACCCCGGTCTGGTGAGACTCTGCCCCCCCCCCCACCACCACCCCCAGTGCTGCTGCCCGACTGGCCCTCACCGTGTTGTAGAACTCGGCCACCAGCTCCGAATGCTGGAAGTTGCTCTCGCACCAATCCACCTCGGAGCTCTGGTAGGCGAAGATGCTGGGCATGGTGACGCAGCGCCCGCTGCCCGCTGGCTGTGTCTGGCAGAGAGGAGCCTGCGAGCCTAGTAGGGCTGGGCTCAGGTGAGGCGGGGAGAGGACAGCCTGGTGCTCCACAGCACGCTGGGAGGAAAAACCTGCTGAGCCGCTCCCCAGTTGCACCAGGGCCGCCTGGCAGTGCGGTGGTGGCTGCCCTGGGCATAAGCAGAGGGGCTGGCACGGTCTAGGCAGGGAGGGAGTGGGTGGGATGGCAGGCCCCTCCTCGCCCACTAGGAATGAGAGTGGGACTGTGTTTTTACCCAACAGTAATTTAAAATAATCATCATCATCATGAGCCCACTGAGATGAGTGCCTTTGCTAACCCCACTGTACAGAGAAGCAAACTGAGGCAGAGAGAGCAAAGTCACTTGTCGAGGGCACGCGAGGTGGTAACGCCGAGATGTGAAAACAGGCTGGCTGAGTCCAGAGCCCAGGTTCTTAACCATCAGGTTTTACTACCTCCAGCCATCAAAGCTCCTTGCTGCTGTTTCCCGCATCAGAGGCAAACAGCTGCACGCCCAGCCAGTACGCTCAGCCCAGCTCCCTTGCCATATGTGGCCTTGCCCAACCATTTCTCCTTTGGGAGCCTCAGTTTTCCTGTCTGTGCCATCAGAGGTTGGGCTGGATTTTTTATATATTTTTATTGATTTCAGAGAGGGAGAGAGAGAGAGAGAGAGAGAGAGAGAGAGAGAGAGAGAGAGAGAGAGAGAGAGAGAGAGAGAGAGAGAGAGAGAGAGAGAGAGAGAGAGAGAGAATATCATTGATTGGCTGCCTCCTGCACACTCCACACTGGGGATCGAGCCCACATGTGCCCTGACCTGGAATCAAACCGTGACCTCCCTGTTCATAGCTCAACGCTCAACCACTGAGCCACTCTGGCCAGGCTGAGGTTGGGCTGGATTGAAGCCACTTTTCTTGGGCAGTCAAGACCTCATATGCCTACAGAGTCACAAATTCCACCAGGGGCCACCTTCAAAACCCCAGTCATCCTCGTTTGCTGGGGACTATCCTGGTTTCAGCACTGTAAGCCCCATGTCCCAGGAGACCCCTCCGTTCTGGGCATACCAGGTTTGGGGGTCCTTGGTCCTGGCTTCCAGTGGCTGTGGAAAGCTATGGTTTTAGAGTCAGACAAGACCAGAGTTTGAATTCTGAGTTCTTAAGCTGTGTGACCTTGGGTAAGTGAATTCACCTCTCTGTGCCTCAGTTTGCTGGTCTGTAATATGGGAAGGATGGTGATAGACCCAACAATTACAAAGGTCACAGAACTAAAACAGGTTAAGGGCTTAGCTCACTGCCTGGCTTGGAGCTTGCCTCACGATAAATGGTAATAAGTTTTCTTATTGTAGCTGGCTTTAAACTTTAAGGCAACCTTACAGAATAATAATAATAAGGGCACACTTTTACCAACTACTTACCAGTGCCAGGCTCTTTTCTAAGTGCTCAATATTCAGTATGATCTCATTTAATGTTCTAGCATTAAGTGTTCTCTCTAAGAGAGCTACAGTTGTCCCCAGGTCACTAGGAGGAAACTGAAGCCCAGAGAAGTTAAGCAATTTAGCCGGGGTCACACAGCTGGGAAGTGAGAGTGGGTCAAGCGATTTCACCTCTCGGAGCCTCAGTTTCCTCACCTGTAATATGGGAATAATTATAGTACCTCCTGCTCTGAAGCTTTAATGAGCTGACACAGTGTTTCTCTAGGAAGATAATTTTTGGTGATGCGTGGACCTGCATTTAGAATCATTAAACTGCGTGACAAGTAGTCCACTTCCTTTTCAAGTCTCAATAGTTTGAGGAGAGCGGCTCAGTTGGTACTAATACATGTTTATGTCTCTTAACACTTAATCCCTGTGCTTGATAAAAAGCCCTTCAGTAAGTAACAGTATCCTGCTGGAATCTTGAGACATCGTTTACAATGTACTTATTTTTAAATAAGCCTGTCTAGTGGCTGGCCATATCTACTTGTCATTCATGGCAGGACTACAAAGTTTCTTTTAAAAAATAAATTGATATCTGAGTCATGGCACCAAAAACAAACAAACAAAAATTGATTTTGCCTGGCCGGTATGGCTTAGTCGTTTCTTTTAAAAAATAAATTGATATCTGGGTCATGGCACCAAAAACAAACAAAAAAACAAAAATTGATTTTGCCTGGCCGGTATGGCTTAGTGGTTGAGTGTCAACCTATGAACCACGAGGTCACAGTTTGATTCCTTGTCAGGGCACATGCCCAGGTTTCAGGCTCAGTTCCCAGTAGAAGGCATGCAGGAGACAGCCGATCAATGATTCTCTCTCATCATTGATGTTTCTCTCCCTCTCCCTTCCTCTCTGAAATCAATAAAAATACTTTTTAAAAAATAAAAAATAGCCATAGCCAGTTTGGCTCAATGGATAGAGCGTCGCCTGTGGACTGAAGGGTGTCGGGTTTGATTCCGGTCAAGGGCACATGCCTGGGTTGTGGGCCCAATCCCTAGTGGAGGGTGTGTAGGAGGCAGCCAATCAATGATTTTCTCTGATCATTGATGTTTCTCTCTCTCTCCCTCTCCCTTCCTCACTGAAATCAATAAAAATACTTTTTTTTTAAAAAAAGCTATAAAAACTCTGTCCCTCTCCCTTCCTCTCTGTAAAAAATCAATAAAATATATTTTTTTAAAAATGCTTTTTTTTTAAAAAGCTATAAAAATAAATTGATTTAAGCTTTATAATTTTGGAGGTGGTTACATAAATCTATACATGCTTGCATAGAGATGCACACAAATGAATGTAAAAGCTGTTGAAATCTGAATAAAGTCTGTAGCTCATGTCAATGTAAATTTCCTGATTTTGAAACTGTATAGTTACATAAGATGCACCATTAGAGGAAACTGAGTAGAGGGTGCACAGATCTCTCTGTACAATTCTGGCAACCTCTTGTGAGTATCGTTATTCCAAAAATGGTTTCTTGAAGTAATTGATTTAGATTTTTAATTGTCAGGTGAATATATCAACAAAATGTGGTATGTCCATACACTGGAATATTATTCACCCTTCAAAAGGAAAGAAATTCTGATACCTGCTACAACATGGATAAACCTTGAGAACATTCTGTTCAGTGAAATAAACCAGTCACAAAAAGACAAATACTGTGTGATTCCATTTACATGAGGAACTTGGAGTCATCAGATTCATTGAGACAGAAAGTAGATGGTGGGTGCCAGAAGCTGGGGAGTTAGTGTTCAGTTTCACTTTGGGATGATGAGAAAGTTCTGTGGCAGGACGGTGGGGATGGTTGTACAACAGTGTGAACGTACCTAATGCCACTGGGCGGTAAATTTAAATATTATTAAGATGACACATGTCATGTTATGTAGGTTTTATCACAATTTTAAAGAGCAATTGATTTGGGTTTTAAAGGGAGTTTTAATTTTAAAAAATATCTTAGGTAAACAATAAGAGTTCAAGTGGGAGGTGGGTATAGGAAAATCCTGAGGGCGGTCTGTGAAGGTCAAAAACGTAGGCACTACTGAGGTTGTGCAAGCTGCAGGCTCGGCCAGGAGCTGGTGCTGAATGAAAAGAGGCTAATGTTGTTGTTGTTGATGATGATGATATTGATGTTATCTACAAAGTGCCAAACGCTTCCAAGTTCACACTCTGCCAGGTGCCCAGAGAGCCACCTTCTTTTTTTAAAAAAATATATTTTATTAATTTTTTACAGAGAGGAAGGGAGAGGGATAGAGAGTTAGAAACATCAATGAGAGAGAAGCATCGATCAGCTGCCTCCTGCACACCCCCTACTGGGGATGTGCCTGCAACCAAGGTACCTGCCCTTGACCAGAATCAAACCCGGGACCCTTCAGTCCCCAGGCCGACGCTCTATCCAGTGAACCAAACCGGCTAGGGCAGTGGTCGGCAAACTCATTAGTCAACAGAGCCAAATATTAACAGTACAACGATTGAAATTTCTTTTGAGAACCAAATTTTTTAAACTTAAACTATATAGGTAGGTACATTGTTATTAACTTAATTAGGGTACTCCTCAGGCTTAGGAAGAGCCACACTCAAGGGGCCAAAGAGCCGAATGTGGCTCACAAGCCACAGTTTGCTGACCATGGGGCTAGGGCAAGAGAGAGAGCCACCTTTTTGAGATCCCCTGGTGAAACGAGGTATCAGTTCTGAAGATGAGAGAAGGTTCCCAGAACCTGAATTAAAAGCTCAACCTGACTCTGCATTCCCCAGAGCAAGGACAACCCCACCCTTTAGCCATAGCCCTGGCCCCCAAACCAGGTGGGCCAGGAGAGCACACATTCACCCCCATCCACCCCCTCCCAACCGGAAGCAGGGCGCCAGACTCCTTCCCCTGGAAGGGGCCATGAGGAGATGGACCATTTGGCCTGTGAGGTCCTTTCCTACTCAAATCCAGGGCAGGGCACAGCTGCCAGGATCTGTATAGAGAGTTACACAGCAGGAAGCAAGGTAGTGACAGGTGCCCACGCCCAGCCCAGCCTGCAGAGTTTGGGAAATCGCCCTGCATAGAGCTGACGAGGGAAATAGGACAGCCAAACAGGTGTGTGGGTGCTGAGACGATGCTCTGCCTCTGCTCGGGGAAGAAAGGAGGTGAGAGAGCAGGTGCCCAGAGCCAGAGCCAGGGAGGAGGGTTGTTCTCCTGGCTGCTGTAACAAATTAGCACAAACGGTGGCTTACATCAACACACATTTATTATCTTACAGTTCTGGGGGTCAAGAGTTTGAAATTAGTATCATGGGGCTAAAATCAAGGTGTCAACAGGGCTGCTTCCTGTTGGAGGCTCCAGGAGAGAATTCATTCCTTGCCTTTTCCGGCTGCAGGTTGCCTGCATTCTTTGGCTCAGGGCCCCTTTCTCCGTCTCCACAGTTCATAGTCTCCCTTCTGATCCCATCATCACAACTCCTTTCCTCTGATGTTGACCCTAGTTCTGCAAAATGCTAGTGACTGGTAATTTGGGTGAAAGATATATAGAATTTTGTTGTATGCTTCTTGCAACTTTTCTGTTGCAATTAAAATATTTCGAAATGAAAAGTTAAAAAAAATGTT